CTAATGGAATTAACCTTAACTGCTGACTTCAGCGACTCAGGGATTGACTTCTTACGAGGGAATAATCTCGTTAACTTAGAATATTCAAATGATGTAGTCCTCCCATCTGGGTCAAGATGCAGAGTCTTATGAACGCCTTGAGCTGCAATCTGCGAATGTTTGAAATGCGAATCGCTCCTGATGTCAAATGTAAGATGATGCTACACGACTGGACCACATTTACTCCTAGCTTAGAATTAGGTAGTGAAATAGTGGAGCGTGTTGATCACTTCACTTATTTGGAAATTTGCATCAACAAGTGACAACGGACTGATCGCTGACGAAATCTCAGCACGGATGCAGAAGGCTAGTTTCGCATATGCCAGTTTACGCCGTCTCTGACGTAGACGTGATATCCGACTGCCTATCGACCAAAGGACGTGTGTAATGCTCAGTAGAAGTTCGCTCCGTCCTCCTTTATGGCTGTGGGCAAGACATGACCATTGAAAGTGGAAGACATGAAAAGGGTGGCTAGCTGTCTTTGATCATAGGTGTCTGCGGTCTATCTCTCGTGTTAGGTGGTATAGTAGGGTGGGAAATACTGAGGTTAGGCATCGGTCGAGTATTAGGTAGGTGGGTGGTGGGGGGAAATCAGTCGACGAGGTTGTGAAGTTACACAGATTGAGACGGTTAGGACATGTGCTACGAATGCCTAGGTTAGCCTAGCCATCGCCTTCCTCGACAGCCAATGTTAGCTGACGTAGGATTGATCAGGTTGAGAAAGAGTTGGCTAGTGGTGGTCAAACCAAAACATGGCCTCATCAGTCGATGAAGTCCACAACAGTTAGTTTAAGCCAGCCATGTACGGAGGTGTAGACTACCAGATTGGTTGGAGTCCTCGGGACGGTGAACACCAATGGCTGGAGACAATTGGTGATATGACTCAAAGTCGTTCTCAATGGGTGGCTCAGATGCATCCACTTCTTGTGACTTATAATATCCAATAAAACTATATGGTTCTTCGATAATACTATTCTTTTTGTCTCATATCTCTGTTTACTGTCTCTGTTTTGCATTTCTTTTTACTTTCTTCTCTTTGTATGCTAAGTGCACATCGGTGCAAAGTTCTGTGTTGAAACCAGTCAGTCAGCTGGTGAGTAACCTTCAAAATGCCGATCTCCAGTGCGATATCTAACACTGATATTTTGAAACCGCGTGTCGGCTTCAAGCTCACCACCTAAATTGCTCGCACACTGATGTGAATCAGGTAACTGACAGATCTAACCAGGACATAGATGTCTGCTGCATTTTGGAGACCCGCAACGAAGATCCTGGTGAAGTGCTTCTAATATCTTCTGCATGTGGAATTTCAATTTGTGTACCATCTATGCTTATCTGGGGACCCTGTGGTATCGATATCTCAATAAACTCTAGAGCCTAAGCTGTATTACTCGACTGGGCCCCCATTAACAATCATTTAGCTGCTGTGAGGTCGGAAGGTTATGCGAGAGTAAGAAGCGGTCGTCCAGATATGCGGTGTCCATTTGTCATCTCTGCTTATGCACCGACGGATTGCAGCCCAGATGCAACCAAAGATGAATTTTACTATCAACTGAGTGAGCTTCTGAAACAGGCGCATCAGAGAGATGTCATAGTGCTAACTGGGGACTTGAATGAACAAGTCGGTCGTCTAAAGTCAGTGGGCTCTACACGGTAGCAGGTCAGATAATGGGAACCGTCTTCTGCAGCCTTGTTCAGATCGCAATCTATTCCTAGCTTGCACAAACTTCCGGTTTCGCCATCCATTTCCCACTCAGGGCTGTATATTCTTCAGGATCTCAGCTACGGTATCACCTTTAAATTCCACGCTCATAAATATCAGTTTCTTCGGCGCCGTCTGGGTTCTTTCAGGCTTTCGCTTTAACTTCATGTTTTTCTCGATAAATCTTTGAAGATATCCATTCTCTATGAGGACTTGTCTGAGTCGCTCCAGTTCCCCATCGATTGTACCCTGGCACATATCCTTCTTATTCTTGAGGATAAGGAGTGGATCAGGTTTCTATTTCTTCTCGAAGGGACCTAACTATGAAAATTTTTGTATTGACCATTCCATGTTGGTTTCTTGTAAATCGATCTTTGAAGAGAACCATCAGGTCTCCTTTTTAGAAAAACATCCAAAAAATAGAATTCCAAGTTCATTTCTAATTCCCACGTGAATTAGATGGTAGCTGTTGAACCCTTTATTTATTATTTCGATGTTGGTATTCTCGTCACATATGATGAAAGTATCATCCATTAAAACACGTTTAGCCTAGTTTTGTGAACTTTTCGCACTCTCACAAAACGGATGTTACCGAAGACAGTATAATCCTATTAAGGGAACACACTTTTTTCTCCACCCTCGAATACTACTCACTCTTCTGTTTTTATCCAATGATTCAGTGTTTGTCGACATGGATATCTCTTGTAACCCTAAATTGTGAGGCGATTGTGTACCCTAAACACTTAACTTATTTTAGAATTCTCATACAATAAAATGGCTTGGTGCTTAAGCAGGTTCGCAACTTTACTGTCACAGGCCTGAGTTAAGTAAGTCGGGTTCCTATTGTGTACGGGAACACGTAGTTTGACGAAGTGAATGATATAGTTAGTAAGCATTTAGGCTTTTTCTTCCATTTGTGTATTATATGCTATTTTTATTCGCTTTACTTTTTAGCATTATTGCATTTAACCGTGTTACACAATCGATTGAGAATAAGAATAGAAGTTGTGCACTGCGGTAGAGTATAATTCCATTGTGAATAAAATTTATATTGATATAGTCTCACTGTTCTATACGGTAATATTTACTGATGACGTTTCGACCACAATTCATTGCTCATAATCATATCAAGGTACTCACACAACTTTCTAACTTCGTTTATATAACTCCATGATTTTTCATCGCTTGACCTGATTTGGTAGTAGTATTTTCCGTATGAGTGATGAGTCATTCCTGTTGCACGTGTTGGGTGTAGACTCGATGAACCAGGATTCAGTAATCAACCTCTCTCTCTCCACCTAACTATATTACTTCTTAGAATTTTAGCCCTCTCCCACCCTATTGTGTGTTAATGCATGCAGTGCAATTGCTGAGCTTTTTACTAAATTACTTATCTTCGTGGGGTCAACAATTATACCTTAGCTAAATTCTTATGTTCCGACTACCCCAGACCTACTAGTTTGACCTATGCAGTTGACCTCACAGTCACTGCAGGGAATTTTGTAAGTTATATTATTTCGTATAATTGAGTCAACAGAGTCATTTAACCTACGTGAGTGAGTTTGTAGGTTTGAATGCCACCCTAATTCCTGCTTTATTAAGAATCCTACACGGGTCTCAGATGTCCCCTCTTTATATGGTAAAACTGTAGATTCCTTACATTCTTTCTTATTTATGTTATCATTATTAGTTTCCCCATTATTTTTGACCTTTTCTGATATTCCTAATGAATTTTATAGGATAGTTATTTGACACCAACGCTTCTTCTATCTGTTTCATTTCATCATATAAGTTTTTTGTTGTACTACTGCCGGGTTTGTTAGTCACTTAACTAAGCCTACCTTAACAGTTAACGGATGAGATGAATTAAAGCCTAAATATCTATTAGAATGCGTTGGTTTTTTGTAAACGCCAGTGCGCAGTCTACCTTCTTCTATTCGTTTTATTTTACAATCTAACATAGCTAATTCTCCTTGTTCACTTTCCGATTCAAATGTAAATTTCATTCCCTTTGCTACTAAATTTATATCTGTTGTGGTGAGAGATGACTGCTAGCCAAATTGGTAGACATTAATTGACGTCAATGTTTATGTCTCAAATATTAGTCAAGTGAAAACAAGATCAAAGATGGACAGCAGACTTTGCGTAGGCGGACACAGTTAGTATATAGATGATCTGACACAGCCACAAAGAGATGCAAGGTTAACTTTCTGTGAGAAACAACCAATCAAAAGACTGTATTTTCTACTAACAATAATCTACAACAATGTACATTAAAATCTATAAATATGTGTTGATTTTCCTGAATAAACGATCTGTTGCCTGACTCTTGCCTTCTGTCGTTACACTGTCGGCAAACTAGAGATATGTTCTGTTTTCAACACTTTGAAAGTGTCATCCACATATCTCCAACACTGTGAGACTTCATTAAAAATAAATTTTACCCACAATGAAACCGATTGAGAATTTTATCACTTTCTTATTAAACCCAAAGAGTTAGGAGGGCGGAAGGCTTTAGATTATTGATTAATCGGTATTAGAGTGTAAGATTGACAGTTCGATTTTTATTTGCAGCTTTGGAATTGGCTGACACATGCTGATTGATCACTATGGGTTGTCTCTTTGCTATACACTACTTGCATTACACCTATTTTTCTTTGAAAACATTCAAACATTTGCTATGATTTACTATAGGATTTCATATCAAGAGTAACAATACTGCAAATATGCTCCTGGGAATGAATTTCACCCAAATAAGAGCTAACCATTCTCCTATTATGATATGTTCAGACACCGACAAATTGCACTAGAATCACGTAATTATCTCACATAAAACAGTAAGATAGCTTGAACTCTAATTGGTGACAATCAGTCGGTGTGTCTACAATATATTTTAACCATATCTATCTATTCTTTAGTATTACACTTTTATTCAATACTTCATGTATATTTGTGTTGTTGTTTTCATTTCATTATGAGCTTGCACATTGTACACGTGTCTATAAAAGGTCATTTTTTTCCACCCTCTAACATGGAGTGTAGCGGCTTGAACTGCTGCACATCGGTGCAAAGTTTTTTATGTTGAAAACAGACAGACAGACAAACCCTTTAACACAGTAGAAAACGATATAGTGTACATGTAGAAGAAAAAGAAGAAATGTGCTAATGAGTAAAAACAATGAAAATAATACTAATTATACTAATTTTATAGACTATAATTTCATGACTATGTATAAACATTGAAATAAAAGAAAACCATAAACTTCCTGAAAACCTTTATTGATTACTAAAATCTTTAAATAAATATTTGTTTAAAATAGAAACAAAACAGAATAAGGTGGAAATGAATCCAGAGCATTAAAAAAAACGAGGGAGACTAAGCATAAAAAATGAATGAAGTGAAGTGTATGGTGGTGTCAATAACGGATTAGTCATAAAGACAAAGTGTGTTGTAAATAATAATCATTTAGAGACAGAACCAACCAAGAAGTAAGTAAACTTAAGAAGGTGAGGAATAAAAACAAAAAAAAAATTAAAACAACACTAATGATTGCTCAGTTCAATACGGTCGTCAATTTGTTGTATATAATTGCACGATTGATAAAATGAGTAAAAGAAAGAAGTCCAGTGATCAAACAAAAAATAGAAAATATTTTCTTATCTTAAACTTTTGATGACGACGGATGTGATTGTTCAGTAACATGTGCTTGTTTTTGTGCCTCACTGGCTAATCTCCTTAATTCTTCTTCATTAGTTTCGAACATATCCTCTTCATCTTGAGCCGTCTACAATGAAAGAAAGGATAAATAATGGCGAGTGAATATGATAATATAGTATGAGCAAAACATTTCACACTAAGAGTTGGGAGGAGGAGGAGTGTTAATCAAAAACTTCACAATATAGCCAGCCATCAAACATTTTCAAGTGTGTTCATTTGCAGGGATTTGATTGATTTCAAGATTGGTCACGAAATGACAGCAGTTAGAGAACACCACTGGAAACCAGAAAGTACTGAACAGTTGTTTCATCCTTGTTTGGAGTTCTTCATCAGTACCCAATTCATGATCCCACCAAGGATTGAACCCTGGACTTTCAGGTTACAAGGTCAGCTCGGTATCCAGTGGTCTATGAATTCTAGCTTCTATCAGTTCGCGATATATGGTGCGACCACCAGTCAATGTGTCATCAGCGAGTATGTGTTCAAACACCCAATTTGGTGGATCCCACTGGTCACGACTTCCCACAGTTGTCCAGCAACCCTTGGTTTTCAGTGGTTCTCTAACGTCTTTCTAAACATTTCAATGAATTCAAGTGTTTTTTCTCCAAAATTTGCCTGCAGATGACAGTTCTCACTATCAATACTGATAACACAGAGTCTAGGCTTTGTCATAGTTAAAACACAGGTGACGTACGATGAACTCTTTCTGATTCTAGAATATAAAAACAATACGATTACACAAAGGTAACGATACTAAAACAACTGTCATTCAAGGAAGGACAAAAACATACTGAACAGTACTGATGTGTAGAACAAAATTGATTAACAAATCACATTTAAATACACATAAGGGAATACACTATAACAGTCATAAAGGTCTACATCGAGTGGTGGGAGTTTACATTAACACAACGATTCATTGTATGACAATCACAACGGAAAGGGATGGGTCATATTGATTGGTGCGCCGCCATAATGTCTGTCTGTTTATCGCAATTATCACATAAAACACGAAATTGTTTATATCAACTTGTCATGCACACTGGCACAAATGAAATAGTTTTACTATTTAGGTCTGCATGAACTGACTGCTTTCAACGAAGAACTTCGCACCGATGTGCAGAAGTTCGAGTCACCACACTTCAATTAACATACAAAGAGAAGAAAGTAAAAAGAAATGCAAAACAGAGACAGTAAACAGAGATATGAGACAAAAAGAATAGTATTATCGAAGAACCATATAGTTTTATTGGGTATTATAAGTCACAAGAAGTGGATGCATCTGAGCCACCCATTGAGAACGACTTTGAGTCATATCACCAATTGTCTCCAGCCATTGGTGTTCACCGTCCCGAGGACTCCAACCAATCTGGTAGTCTACACCTCCCTACGTTACGTGGCTGGCTTAAACTAACTGTTGTGGACTTCATCGACTGATGAGGCCATGTTTTGGTTTGACCACCACTAGTCAACTCTTTCTCAACCTGATCAATCCTACGTCAGCTAACATTGGCTGTCGAGGAAGGCGATGGCTAGGCTAACCTAGGCATTCGTAGCACATGTCCTAACCGTCTCAATCTGTGTAACTTCACAACCTCGTCGACTGATTTCCCCCCACCACCCACCTACCTAGTACTCGACCGATGCCTAACCTCAGTATTTCCCACCCTACTATACCATCTAACATGAGAGACAGAACGCAGACATCTATGATCAAAGAGAGCTAGCCACCCTTTTCATGTCTTCCACTTTCAATGTTCATGTCTTGCCCACAGCCATAAAGGAGGACGAGGTGAACTGCTGAGTAGTATATGCGTCCTTTGGTCGATAGGCAGCCGGATATCATGTTTGTGCCAGCGATGGCGCCAAAATAAATTCTAACTGGCAGTGAACGTAGAAATTTCAAAAGATAATGGTTGTTAAAAAATAGTATTATCGTACTAACTAATCTTTTTGTCATTTCTAATGTCGGCAGCCTACATATGTAAATCATTTCATTGCACACAGAACTGCACTTCATGTAGCACGTGGAAAATAGACCATTCCGTATTAGTTTGTTTATTAGATGTATCACACAGTGAATAATACTGTCTCACTGTGTGATACACCTAATTAACAAACTAATATGGAATTACTTACTACCACAGTGCTCAAGTTTTACACATATATTAATATGAAAATAGATCATGTTTGAATAACTTGTTTTTATTCATCTAAATGAAAGCAGTTTTGATACAATCTCAAAGGAAAAATATTGCTTAATATCTGTTTACTTATTAGTATCTTATTAAATCTTGGATTTTTGGTTGGTGAAATGGAAAATCGTCTATTGTGGAGTGATATTCCAATTCGATTTGTACTAGTACATATTAGTGCTGATTGTTGCTTAGCAATCCATCACACTTGAGCAATGAAGTAATGATAAATAGTAGATGTCCAAACTTAAATAGGCCGAGGAGTGTTCGAGACTATGAACTGACTTGTTAAAGATAACTGGGTGTACAAATAAGTTATGACTGATTAAAGTTATGATAAAGATATTTCTAGTTTATGTTTATGTATACGATTTCACCAACCATATTATCTCTCTGGACGATTAGTCAATTTCTGATCCCAAAGTTACCCAACTAATGTATCAATAAGACATGAAATTCATTTCCAATCCATAGAAAACCATGGACCTACCTCTGATTATCATTTTTAGTAGAGTACTGTTAAACTGATAAATTCAAGCAAGAATCAAAAGTTCTTAATCAATTGTTATTTCCCCTTTACTAAGTGAATTGCGTTCACCTTCAGCTGCAATTTTGAAATGCGATTCGCTCCTGATGTCAAATGTAAGATGATGCTACGCGACTGGACCACATTTACTCCTAGCTTAGAAATAGGTAGTAAAATAGTGGAGCGTGTTGACCACTTCACTTGTTTGGCAATTTGCATCAACAAGTGCCAACGGACTGATCGCTGACGAAATCTCAGCACGGATGCAGAAGGCTAGTTTCGCATATGCCAGTTTACGCCGTCTTTGACATAGACGTCATATCCGGCTGCCTATCGACCAAAGGACGCATATACTACTCAGCAGTTCACCCCGTCTTCCTTTATGGCTGTGGGCAAGACATGAACATTGAAAGTGGAAGACATGAAAAGGGTGGCTAGCTCTCTTTGATCATAGATGTCTGCGTTCTGTCTCTCATGTTAGATGGTATAGTAGGGTGGGAAATACTGAGGTTAAGCATCGGTCGAGTACTAGGTAGGTGGGTGGTGGGGGGAAATCAGTCGACGAGGTTGTGAAGTTACACAGATTGAGACGGTTAGGACATGTGCTACGAATGCCTAGGTGAGCCTAGCCATCGCCTTCCTCGACAGCCAATGTTAGCTGACGTAGGATTGATCAGGTTGAGAAGGAGTTGACTAGTGGTGGTCAAACCAAAACATGGCCTCATCAGTCGATGAAGTCCACAACAGTTAGCTTAAGCCAGCCATGTACGGAGGTGCAGACTACCAGATTGGTTGGAGTCCTCGGGACGGTGAACACTAATGATGGCTGGAGACAATTGGTGATATGACTCAAAGTCGTTCTCAATGGGTGGCGCAGATGCATCCACTTCTTGTGACTTGTAATATCCAATAAAACTATATGGTTCTTCGATAATACTATTCTTTTTGTCTCATATCTCTGTTTACTGTCTCTGTTTTGCATTTCTTTTTACTTTCTTCTCTTTGTATGTTAATTGAAGTGTGGTGACTCGAACTTCTGCACATCAGTGCAAAGTTCTACGTTGAAAGCAGTCAGCATACTGTTTTCATTACAGTCACAGTGAACAATAATCGATAGTTAGTCTCCGTTCAAAGCTGGAAATAACTTGCTAAGAGTAGCTTTCTTCATTCGCCATGATATAAGCCACGCTCACTATCCGAGGACTCATGATATTACTCAAACCCTCAAGCTGAAGTAGGGGGAGCGGAATACGAAACCAGGACACAGTAGCTCACATTCAGATGCTTTATTTAGTATACCAATTATAATTAATTAGATTTTGTACATCTTCAAAAAACCGCCTCATACATCATGTAAATGCAGATAAACAAAATAGCGTTTTCTCTGAACAATTCTTCAGTTTGGTAGAGTTAACCGGATGTTGGTCATACACGTTCCAAAAAATTGAAATAAACTATGATCTATTTAATGGTAGCCCTGAGTGAATACTCATAAGAATTGTCTAAACATACTCGAATTTAATCCCTTTCCCATTGAAAATTAAGAAAGTGAAAAAAGTAGCTGACTAAAATGCATACACATACAATAAACTGTGATGTCAGAAGACACACTTTCGCACACATAGAGGAAGTCTATGTGAAATGTAAATGTGAAAAAAACATCATAGATCTTTCACAGTTAACTAACCTTCCAGTCTTCATCTCTTTTTGCATAACTTGATTCTATACCCTTTAAAAACTCATCAAGAGAAACAAAATAATCTCCATTTGTATCGTAATGTTCCATAAACTTCTGTCTCATTTTGTTCCGGTCGTATTTTTCTTCCAATGGATCGAATTCCGGATCTTTCATATCATAAACTTTATCGAGCTGAAAAAGGTAGAAACTATATAAGTCTCCGAAAGATATTTCCTTTTTAAATTATTCTATAACAACGAAATAACACCATAAATACATACAGGGCAAAGTTAAACTATCATAGCCAAAACCACAGTGACCTGAAGCAACCAATCAGAATTTCGACGCAGAGAAGTTGCATAATCGTTGAAAAATACACTAAAAAAATTTGTGAACTTGATATTACACGGTATATTTGTAGCTTATATGTTGCAAGAATGTCTCCCAGTCAATACACAGATGATCTATAGAGAAATCGTATCATGCGCGATATACCCATTTATCTAGATGACTGTAGGTCATGTTACTTTGATATCTATTGATGTTTCTGACAATAGTCTCCAACCTACTCCTCTAACCATAATCCTAAATTTAACCCTAATCTTAAACGCCATAACCCTACCTGACAGTACAGATTTGCAGAAAAAGTACCTAGTAAATGAGTAGAATACTGTATCTATATCCTTTCCAAGTCCAAAAAGGCAGACATGATTTGATTTGGGATGGTGTTTCATAGCATTCCCTATGTTTGATCGGTTCTTGAAGGTCAACTTTTGAAAGACATTGACTTTGGCTATGATCCTTTAAATTCGCCATACACAATTGATCAAAAAAAGCAGTGACTGGAAAGATGTTAGTCTAAGATGTTTACACATTTATTGAGTTTGTTCGCAACACGTGTGTAAAGCACAAAAGACACACTACCAATACTGCAACCAGTGTTTCTGTATGATATTAACATTATCATCAAACGATGCTACTGAACACTCGTAGACTATCTGAATTCATTTGAAAGTAGCATAACCGCGATTTGAGTTAAAATGTGATACACGACAGTTTTTTTTAAAAACTCGATATACCCCCATGCATCAGTAATAAAGTTAATATAATGCAGAAATCATTTTTCAATGAATTTCAAATAATGCGAATAAATTATAACACCACTTAAACCATATTTTAAGTATAATTGACAATCACTGTCTCAATGTGAAACCTTGCACTTGTAAGTGAAACAAAAAAAGTTGTTGATTCAAAGTTTTAAAGTGCTCATTTTGAAAAGAAAAGCAAATTATGCATTTTTACGAGTTTGGCCACGGATTGATATCAGTTAGAGAGCCACTGAAAACCAGGGAGTACTGGACAGCTGTTTCGTCCTAGTTTGGGGATCATCGGCAGTATGCACCCACCACAGTGGGGTTCGAACCCAGGACCTTCCGGTTACAAGGCAAGCTCGTATACCATCCAGCCACTGGGACCCGATTCAATGGCCTGTCCATGAATTCTAACTTCTATCAATTCGTGATTTAGTGCGACTGGCACCAACCAATGTCATCAGTGGGAAATCCATCCTGACACTTGACTGGTTGGACCTCACTGGTCACGACTTCTCACTAGAACTCCAGGAAACTCCGTCCTGTAGCAAGTCACTAGCGAGCATGAGATTTTGAGAAACTTTTGTAGATTTTTAATAAAATCTATCTAGTTAACCTGATCAAAGATCGAATGAGCCAAATGTTTGAATAAAGACACCTAATCCCTTTTTATTATTTTATTTTTGAATGTACACGAATATATCTACGTAAACTATGCATGAAAGACTGAAAAGACACGATATTATTTGTAAACTGAACAAAAGACAAATACTCGGGTAGTGGTTGATTAGGTGAGAAAAGATTTTATGATTAATCTTTCTCAGTACAAAAAATAGATTAGTTTTAGTATTTCGATAGAGTAATCCGGTTTTTAATTAATTTATAAAGTTCACTTTTAACAGTTTGAAAAAATTTGGGCATTGGGTATATGATATTCATTATAATAAAGGTTTTTGTATTTCCCAATGAATGAAAAACAAAACGATATTGTTTTCACTGACGTTTCGCTATTTAATGCTAATAGCTTTATCAAAGTATTATATTGTCGTTTTGTTCCACCCTAGTATGTTTCAGTGTTTATGATTCAACTTATTATATTAGACTTAGCTAAATGCTCATGATCTGAGAACATGAATGACCCTTACTTATGTACTTGACCTCATAGTTATTGAACAGAATCTACTATTAACTATAATTTATAGACAACAAGACATTTAATGAATTCATGAGTCATGCCTCTTTATCTTCTAATCACTATCCTGCCAACTGTACCAAGCGAGTTGTTAAGCGCTATCGATTATACAATGGCCAGAACATGTACTACGCATAACGATCCACCAGCTGCTTCGATGATCAATATTAACTGAAATAGGACTCTGCACTGCAAAACAGTTAGGTATAGTCACCATCATGATCATCATATAGCCTACTAAGGAAATAATTCAGAACGATAACCAATTGTTTATTAAACACAAAGTGTAATTGCTAATAAATTCAAAGAAATGATGGAGAAATTCAATTATCTATAGTTTGGGTTCGAATCCCAGTGGGTGCGTACTGCCGATGATCCCCAAACTAGGATGAAACAGCTGTCCAGTACTCCCTGGTTTTCAGTGGTTCTCTAACTGATATCAATCCGTGATCAACTCGTAAAAATCCAATTGTGTTACTGCAGCACAACTGAAAACCCTTTCGTTATCAAGTACAACTAATTCAATACTGTTAATTTCTGTAAAACAAAACTACTTCATCATTTATCTGGGGCTTCAGGACAGTCTATTAACAACAATAACAGGAAGAGTTTTACAGTCTAATAATCGATGAATTCCATCCTGGTAGTTAAAGTTTTACCGTCTACTCACAGTTCACATTCGTATGTATTCACACGCTTTAACATTCAACCTTAGTGAATATATTTTACTGTAAAAGATGAAATTATATTTTTCTTGTTTGAAAACAAACATTGAAGACAGCAAAATTCAGTAAAAACTTACTTCTCGTTGTAATACAGCTTCAACTTCGTGAACACTAAGATGACCATCTCCATCCAAGTCTATAGTTTTTATTGAATAAATTAAAGAATAAAAACATCAAACTTATGAACCAGACAACATTGATATGATTGACTACCAGTATACAACAGATTAATGAAGCCTACAAGTTCTTATTATCCCCCCCCCTTGATAATTATACTCAAATAATGCCTTTATCTCAATTCAAGACTCTAATAGCAAAAAAACAAAAACTAATCAACTGGATATTACTGCTAATACTACTATGAAATATAAACAGACGCACTGTCTACCTGATCACATCTACATTAATGGATAGGGATACGCTTGTGTGACTTCCCAACTTCATACAGTTAATTATGATACACCTCTCCAGACAATTCTGATATATGTGGTGAATTGATTATCTTTCGTAATTCATTGGATTCTTGCATTTAAGTAGTTGAAAGTTCGTTGAATTATACTGAATCTCGAGTAAAGAAGGTTTAGGCCTGAGGGTGTGAAATGGGTGTGCGTCGGTGGTACAGTGGTTAGGACTCCCGCCGACCATGCACATGGTCCGGGGTTCGATTCCCTGCCGACGCACACCCGATATCTATGGTCGGCCTGCAAATTTTGGGCTACCGATATCCATGATGAAAATTCCACACTTGTACTGAAAATACGGTGTGGCATCAAGCTGTAATCAAAATAGAATAAAATAAATAAGTAATATGATGCAACCAGTAATAAGTAAACCTGGTTAAGCGTGACAGAGCATATAATATGTGGAATAGAAGACGTATTGTAACAATTTTCATCATTTTTCCAAATGCATTTTGCCTTAGAGCTAAAACCACAGCCACAGAATCGTTGAAAACTAAACAGCATTCTTAGTTCACCATCACCTAAAAGTGTGTGTAACCTACACATCCTACGAATGATCTAGGCCTTGGTCATCAGCTTTCGCGAGGGAGCATGTTCTTATGATTTTCAACTTTTTCCAATTAGCAAACTCTCATTCTGACTATTTAATATCATCATCATGATCATCAGTGACACATCCCTTTATTGATCTCAACGGTTACAACTTCTCACTAGAACGTCCGAATATTCATTGTCAATCTACTTAATCTTATCATATTCCATTACATAACTGACAAAGAAACATATATGATGATATATGATAACGAATTCAAACTATTGGGGTACAGCAGGTTGAAGATGAGGCAGTAACTCATCGAAGAAGACATTGCGAAATGGTCGCGCTATGTCGTGAATTGGCAGAAGTTAGAATTCAAGGACCATTGGATCGGGTCCCAGTGGCTCAATGGTCTACGATCTCGCCTTGTAACCAGAAGGTCCTGGGTTCGAACCCCACTGTGGTGGGTGCGTACTGATGAAGAGTCCCAAACTAGGCTGACGAAACAGCTGTCCAGTACTCTCAGGTTTTCCAGTGGTTCTCTAACTGATGTCAGCTCATGATGAAATCCTCCATGGAATAATTTTTCGTTAAAAACATCATTATATTGTGAAATCAATCAGCTTAGAAATCAGTCATCATCAGTCTTCAAAGCATATGTAACTAAACACTTTACTGCCAGTCAGATTATTATTATTATACTGAAACACAGAGAAGTGTGCATTTACAGTACACACTAACAAAAGAAAAATGTGTGTTTATGCAGTTTACTTTGTCTAGTAATTCATTCTATTTCTTTTCTCAAAAGTGCGAATTACTATCCTACTACTATATATAACCACATGTGTTAATCCTTACAGGGTTTGGATTTAGTACAGAACTATCAAATTAATATATTATTCAAATTATAATTGCGAATCATAGTAGAAAAATTCAATATAATATACTAGAAAGTAAAATTGAAGGGTTCGAATGTATGATAAATTGAATTGTGCTACAGTGAAGTAAATTTATTACTTACCAATTTCAGAAAACAAAGTTCGAGGATTAAATGTTTCCCTTTCCATACCCTCTTGTTTCTCCCAATATTCTTTAAGCTGTTCATCGCTACCCTATTTTAAAAAGTATAAGAAAAGGAGTAAAGCATAGAAGCTTCTTCATAACTTCAGTAAATTAAAAGTTAATTGGATTTTATACTGTACTCAAAATAATAATTATAATCACAAATAATAGTTCTCTAGCTCGAAAAAAACCCGAAAAAATTTACGTGTTCGTTTTTCACGCACGCATACAACTACGAAAATCCAAGGTTAGTTAAATTTCCTTTGATCAGAGGGTGAGGTTTATTTAACTATACTGATGGGACGGTTTACTAGGAAAACTGTCACCAATAAACATAACACAAGTTCTTTGATTAGACACGAGTAACTAGTGCAGATTGAATTCTATCAGTCAGGTTTGCAATGTGGCCAGCATTCTAGGTAGCTCACCATCACGGTGCACATTGACTTGATGATATTAGATGGTTGGAGGCAATCGGCAGGAAGCCTTGAACCCGAATAGCTCAGTGGTAACGTCTCTGACTGCAGCACTTGGTGATGCGGGTTCCAATTTCAGAAGGAACATGAGTTCCTTCAAGGTTGCACAAGACGCCTTGCTGACGAGTGCCAACTGGCAAGATACCTTGATGTGATTATGAGCAATAAATTGTACTCGAAACGTCATCAGTAAATATTACTGTATAACACTGTGAGACTATCAAAATATATTTTACCCACAATGGAATTATACTCTACCACAGTGCACAAGTTTTATTCTTATATCAACGATATAATTTTAGGCGTTAAATATCTTCACTAAGTTGGAGTTAAAATCCGAACTAATCACAACTTCCACATGGACAACACACCACATTTACTTGAAATTGCAATTGCTTGTACGATGAAAGTAACTTGAGTTAATAATAATAATAATAAATACAAACAATAAATAATAGTTGTAATAATGATAATAGTATTCATAAATACCCCTAAAATCAAAAAAATATATTTGAGGTGACTGAATAAATAAGCTTAATCTGTAACACGGCTTACACAATGGAAAAGTATGTAGAAGGGATTTCAAGAATTCTCGGCATGTCAACACTTACTGAGAACACTGAAAGATGGATGTATGATATGTATATCAACTGAAAAGCAAGACCACTCGATAAAAGTTTTCTTATGAAAGTGGTAAATCACAACTATTTGGGAATTTATATCGATCCATTAGAAATCCGCCTCAAACACTATAAAACTATACAGCAGTTATACTCGATATTTCACGACCATTGGAAAGAAATCGATGAGGAAAAAGAATTAGAAATAAGGTCATAAACGACTACTAAAAATACACGAATCCGTTTTTATTGCCTACAATGTAATAATTTTCTGAATTGAATTTTTTAAATATAAATTTCCACACATACAAAAAATACACTCTTGACTAATCTGTCTCAAGATGATTCACTTGTACATGCCTTGCCTTCGGTACATGTAGCCATGTTTACGAAGCTATACTTAGAATCTCTATGAGTTATTTTGAAGCTATTTTACTTTGAAAAAGTCTAGTTTATTCAGTCACTTAATAACTGGAAAAGGAAAATACGTCTATCTATAACATTTGCTACTTTTTCAACTGTTTTGCTGTATAGGCAGATTTTCTGTCTACAACAACAGACTGATTTTGTTTAATTCTTATTTTTCTTACCTTCAATACTATGACCACCTGCTTTCTTTAGTGCAGAAAAAAACATCTGTCAAACGTAGATAGCCTTCGGCAATGTAATAATGAAAACTAATACAACTGTACTGATCCTATAAAAAAAAATCTTCACCTTAAGTTACACAAATTATTTGCGGTGAAAAAAAGGATTACATAGTAAGACAGTAAGTACCTGTTAAAATGAATTTATAAAACATTTCACACTTACTGGTTGATGGACTTTTGGGCGCTTTCGGTGCTTTTCAGCTTCCTCTTTGAAATGCTTAATCATTTCAGCACGTTTTTCTTCCGGTAGCTCAAGGAATTGTTTTACTCTTTCAGCTTTCTCTTTAGCCACATGCTCTTCGTACTGCTTCTCTTGCAAAGAATCGAGTTCTCTCAATCGATTAACAGCCTAAAAGCCAGCAAAAAATGAATTTACTGTTATATCAGCGTTACACTTTGATGTAGACTAAGATCTTTAACTAATACAGTTCCCAGCAACTTTTCTAATACGTATAGTAATGACATAACACGGTGTACACTACAAGTATAAACCATCTCCATTCTTAAATATCTTTCTTATAAATGCAGTCTTCTGACTGACTGACTCTATTCACCTTCAACTTCACATGAATTGATTTGCAGGCAAGAGAGCACTTAACTTGATTACAATACGAAAACGATGTAACCCTGCTAGTTAAAGATACCAAAAGCATACATTTCGCTGAACATATTGAAGGGAAATGTAAGTAAGTAAAAGAAAATAATCATACATTCTGAGAAGTTCTTATATTTTATAAGTTGCATCGGCTCAAATAGGTTGATTGCTAAGATTCACTTAATTTTTTCCAACTGGAGTCGTTTATAGAACAAGTTAGATATCCTACCTTCTATTAAATGATAAACACTACACTGAGTCACACACAACTGTCAGATATAGCTATTAAACAGGGATTTTCATGTGGAAATTATAGGTTTCCAAAGATGCGTTTCTAAAGAGTGTTGTTTTCATGTGGTGAAAGAGTGTAGGGACAAACATCGAGGCAGGACACGGAATGTTATACGAAAGGCAAGAAGGTAGCCGATGAGGCAGTTAACATATACAGACTAAGACGATTGACATGTGTATTAGGTACGATAGGCTATTCTTCAGTGGAGCAGAATTACAAAGATGGAAAGTCAAAGATATGATCAGGAGAAACGAGGTGCTGGTACTGTTTCACCTACTTCAGCCTAAATAACCATAAAGTGCAGCTCACAAACTACTACATGAAGAAGAACTTTCAAGTTTTGAACTTTTGTGATAAGAGATAGTTACCTTCTTTTTCCCATCCATGTGGATATGATATCATGAAAAAGACGAATCCCAGATACACAAACTTACACCAGAAGCAAACACAACAAATGATATACATTTAGAGTGTAAATGTAGGTACTCAACTGAAGCAAAGACAAATGTTCAGAAAAGCCTACTTAAAGAAATAATTTGAATACTATTGACTGAAGTGCGTCGGTGGCACAGCGGTTAGGACGCTTGCCGACCATGCACAGGGTCCGGGGTTCGATCCCCGGCCGACGCACTCCTTTACCTCGCTAAGCCAGATATAATGCTGGTGAAGAGGAAAGGTTGGGCATAAGGATAGCAACCCCATCCTGTAAAAATAAACACTGCTACAGAAATTTCAAGCCACTAGCTTGAAGCCCTATGTTCCACTGGGAACGTGAAGGAATAAAGAAAAACTATTGACTGAACATAACTAACATATAAAAAGGAATAGTACAGACTACCTTTTGCACTAATTCCATATTGGAGGGTTTCCTTTTACTACCAAGATTTTCACTATCAGAATCAGACTCATGTGACTTTTGTCGTGAACGAGCTTCCACAAGCTTTTCAACTATATGACGTTTAGATTCATCAGACCAATCGCGTAAACTTGAATTCCAAAGTCGTATATAATCAGCTGCAGTGATCTGAAATAAAAATATGTCAGGAACATCTATAAAATTAACAGTACCAATATAATCAATAAGACAAACAACAAGAAGAAAGAACCATGAAATTTGTGGGACATTGAAAGTGTAAAACCACGTATACGAATTCCTGGTATACCAACCGACAAATCGCTTAATGTTTATGTACATACAAATTGATATAAAGATAAAAAGTTAGAAAAGCTATTTTTTACTTTGTATTCCACTGTTGAGTATGCATAAAATAACAGTGCAACTAAAGAAGGCTGTGTAGACTCAAACGAAATGCTGATTAATGCGCTAATGGTACACACTAATACAGATTTGGATAGGCAAAAGGGAATTCACATTGGAGAACTATTGAGTAATATTTTAGGGCACTATACTGCGTAGCAGCAGTATTTCACATTCAAAACATAAATCAGCATGATATCTTTGGATTGTTGAAAATTTCTTTGTATTTTCAATCATGCAGTTTCTGGATGACATTAGCAAAACAACTAGTATTGAATAAGTGAAATAGCGTTTAATAAGCATCATATTTTATTCATTAGACAGGAAGAATCAATTCAAATACAAAACAGACTGAGACAATACAGTTTTGTAGGCAGATAAACAAATGCAACCTGCTGAAAGACTTTAAAAACAACTATACAGCAATTTTAAAAATTATGCAAACTTTACAGGAATATGCAGAGAATAATGGAGGCTATTGGGCTTTAGTAAGCTTACAAGAAAAGACCTCTACTTAGTATCCAAAAAGCAGAGTCCGTTCCGTGTATACCGACAGAAAAAGAGCAGAAAACTCCTATTTCATGTTCGTAAATCAGCAATAATTCCGTCTCTCATCAAACCATTCTGCGATACTAACTATAAATAGAATCAACTGTTTCGAAACGTGCATCAGTAAAATTGAAGGTTGCAATAAGACAACAACTTACATTACCGGCAAGTAGAGTTTTCAAAGAAGCCAAGGTTTCAGGGTCCAAGTGCAGTGATTTCGGTGCCTCCTCTAAATAATGTTTGTAGTTATCAATTTCTTCCTGCTGAATTTTAAGATGAATAATGATAATATTAGTTTGTAAAACAAGGAATATTTTATGTGCATACATATGAAAACTACACTGCAAGCCCAAAAAATCATATCCCTTTCGTCAAAAATAATTAAGATCAATCGTCAGAATTGAAGAATCTAAAGACTGCAAAACGGATGAATACGGAAATAAAAGTCTTCCACCATATAAAGGTACTTTACAATAATTATTTTGAAATAAAGTGCATTTGCTGCAGAAGAAAAGTGACATATTGTTGATTGAAATTGTTTATCACAACGAATACTCAAACACAGTCTCTAAAATGATAAGAGATCAAATTAGAATGTAACAATTTGAAATGACGCACTTTTCACAAAGTTCTGCCTAATTACGTCAGTCACACATAACACCACAATCACATTTCAGTCAATTAACGTCTGTAACCACCTATCTCGGTTGTCTTCTGAGGTTCAGACTCAGAATTAGACTTCATATCTGTCATAATCATGTAACATTTTTGACTAAGGGACGAGACTCTTAACCACAGGAGTCAATGAAGGTGAAAATCTCTGATTTGCCATACCTAAGTTGGAAATTACTATTACTTACTGTGGTTTCACCACATACAAGCTACGTTGGGAAGATAAACATCACTAGATTACGGTTATTTTATCATATTTACCATCTTTAACTGCTCCTTTTCACAGCCACAGAATGAAACAGATAGAAATCAAGAGTAAAACATTCACCTTCTTGATTAGCAATCAGGTATTTCACGGGCTCGGAAGTTCTCCCAATATACGTACTGAGATTTTGTCACTTATCAGTCCATTAAAGCATATACATCATCGGAAGCGGTGAAACTACTTGGCGACTTTACCCACAATGTCCACTCTGCGAGCCCCATATTAGTAAGCCCTATAATGTCAACTTTTACATACCAGGTGAAACATGCATGTGGAACGTATAGATATTTTTGTTCACAGAGTTCAGAAGACCTAGTATTTGAGCAGTAAGAAAATAATGTTAAATTACTCGAACACAATCAGAAATGGATTTCAAACAAACTGTTTACATAGTCACCTTCACCAATAGATCTGCAACAAGGTTAAATCAACATAGTGCCAGTGGGTTTTCCTGAGGGACACTACTTTAAATACAATCACCTCATAAACCTTTACACAGAAAAGAGTTATTTTCTATGGTATTTAAGCCTAAAATAAACACATACTTTGTATTATGTTGTATTACTATAGACAGCTACAGAGAATCGACCCACTAGTTTCTAATATCTCAAACATCTTGACTAAATAGCCTGAAATTCATTATGCAGAAGCCATCACGATACGTGTTATCCTAGATTGGTATCTCACAGTATTTCGCAGTGATGTCTTCTATGAGTCGTTCTGCTGCGACCCGTCCTTCTCTGTGATGCCAAAAGACCTTTTTGTCATTTAAAATACCTTTTGTTGAATCTATTCTACAATAAACTACAAGTAATAGAACTAGGGCAAATATATAATTCAATGAGTAATGAAAGACGGGAAACAAATACGTAAGAAAGTTTAATTTGATATTCACATGAAGGTGTACCATATAACTAATAAGCCCCGTTTTTGACAAGTGATGCTTTTTAGCATTCTGTAATTCTGCAGATTAAACGAATGACGTATAAGTCAACTATTAAATGCCTAGGCTGAGGAACTTGAAATTAGTGCCTCGTCAACTATCTACTTCTGTCTGTAAACCTAGTGGTTAAGTTGTAAGAATACAAAGATATAAGCTGTAGGTTTGATGGGACCAAAGATTGTTGCCAAGGTAAGATTTGCTGGCTAGATTTTGGCTTATGGATTTGTAAAGCGATGTGGCAGCAAATTCTTCTGCGTTAGTTGAATTTTCCGACGTATCGATAAAATGTTTCAAACTTTAGAACACAGTCACACAGAGTAAACATAAGTAGAATAGAATACGAAAGATTATATGATAAAATAAATTTGTAACCTCCGAAGTTTAGTAGTAAGTTCTATGACCTCAGGCTAAATAACGCAGATGAAAGTCCCATGACAAGTATAAATACTTCTTAGGGCAGCACTCCAGTACCACTCAGGAGTTTATTTGGAAAACGGAATCATCAAACACGAAGCTGAAACTACGTGGCACTTCGTTAGACAGTATTAAAAGACCAGTACTTTATTCATTCCTCCAATGGTATCTCGTCAAGGGATACAAACAGACTAAAAAGCGCAATTAAACCATGACATCCTAATTTCACTGCGGTAGATCCGTTTTACCACCTTGATACTTCACAGAAAAGTTGTTATACAAAGCTGGAAACAGATGCCCTGTAATAGTTTGTATGTTAAGAATACAATTTAAGATTACCTTGCTCAAGCCACAGTACAACACCCTACGCAATTTTCTTCTGTATAAAATAATGGACAAAACCTGCCTGAGTACCTCTAACTTAATTAAGACACAGTCTTGTCTGCCAATTGCACATAAAGTCTTCATTGCGAACAGATCGCTGAACAAACAGCAGTCGGGATTTATTTCGAAAGTTTACCATAGCGCAAACAAACTACATAGTAACTGTTGCAGTTTTACCATCAAGTGAATGGTGTGAAGATATTTTACAAACTGATTTAGGACAAGAGCATAGAGGCTCAATTCGTCGAACTGTGAAAAATACATCAATGAACATTCACTACTGCCAGCATACTACACTTAGTTATTGTAACAGCTTCTGAACTACATGAATCACTGATTGTATTTGAAGGAGAGAGTAATAAAAGTTTAAACGCCAACAATGATCTTATGTGTTACTCGATGAAACGTTGTAAGCGATGCATGCTACCTAACTTTTGTCAACAATTCCATACAAATGATTTATTGCGTCAGAAATTCCATAAGATTCTCCTTAAAATCCCAAGTCGAACTTTAGACAGACAGGATAAAATGAAAACCTCGTGACATCTTATAAAGCAACCTGCAGAAACACAGGCATTTACCCACTAGTTATCGTCCTTCGAATTTAGAAATCTATCAAAACCAAGTAGGGTTCATTTATGGATGAAAAACTGGTAACAATAACAATGTCCCATTTCCAATGCCGTTAACAACCCGCTGGAACACGGAATAATACCGGTCTAAAAGTAGTAAGAAAATGTAGAAAATTTGCTGCAACAGCCTTTGTTGCCACAGTTCCGAACAATCCTAGTGATTTGGAATTTTTGAATATGACAACATAGAGAACTTATCTAAGTAGCTAGTTTAATAGACGATAATTGGAAAACACAAGAATGCGACGGAAGAATAAATGGACGAAGAAAAACATCAAAACCTTGGAAATTTCTTACAAGATTTTTATGATTGTTACATGTATATTTAACCGAGTACTAAATTAATTCACAAACAAGTGTCCGTATTTTCAAAGACAGGTGAAAAACAGAGCGCACAGACAAGGAAAAATGTTAAATAATTAAAGCTACATGTGGCAAATATGGAATTATGGTGTAATAAAGGTGAAGTAATGTGATTTATAATTGAGCAAAGAATTAATTAGCGAATAAACAATTTAAAAACTCACCTCTTCATTATCGCCAGTACCACTTACAACAGGGACTGAAGTGATACACTGGACAGTAAGAAGAAATAAAACCAGGTAAATCTATAGAACCAAAAAGTAGTAAAGTCGAATGTAACAAACCATGTGTCCTCCAAATTGAAAAGCTGCCGACTGTAAGGCTTCACAGGTATGGTGGATATAAACAAACAATCACTGCAATGATATCGAATATTTAACCATGTAATAACTACTTGAAAGTTTTAAGAACCTAATCTACACTCACCATTATACATATATATATGGAATCTATTCAATGTGGGACCATCTCCCATTTGTTTATTATGCTTTGTTATGTCAAGAACACCAATACCCCTAGTGGTTGCGAAAGTTGTTTGTAACTTATTAGCTAGTATGCATCTCCATTCTGTAATTCCAGCGAGTAGGTTCGTTTCAACATCTGTATGTCTGCGTACTGCTACCAAACACATCAGTGACGAGTGCTTGTGGTTGATAATGAAATGCAGCATTTGGAAATGGTTGTTCGATTACATACACTATCAACACCCCAGGGTTTGTGGGCGTACTGCTGTTTGATCGCAAAGATTAGATCCTCCTGATAAACACTTTAGCATGTTCACATATGTGTCATCGTAACACTTCCTCCATCATATTTATTAAGGCAGTTAATACATTCAGTAAGTGGGATATTGCCTGACAAACTATATGTTGAGTGAATACATATCAATTCCCTTTAGATTTCAGATTCAGATTTATTGGTTGAGGATAGAAGGCTTGGATCCTATGTTAATCTTTTTCTAGTAAATTTCTGTGGTTGTCCAAACCCTTCTTGAACGAATCAGTTGAGGTTGCAGACACCACTTCTTCTGGGAGCCGGTTCCAAGAGTTTATGACTCGGTGTGAGAACCAGCACTCAACAGCAATATGATTTCTTCTTGGCTTTTGAACTCTCCTGCTATGTCCTCTAAGGTGTTCCGACCTGGTGGGAAGGAAAAGAGAGAATAGGACAGGTCCGTAGTCATTATTTAAAACTTTAAACATTGTGATGAAATCTCCTCTCTGCCTACGGTATGACAAGGAGAAGAGATTTAAACTGTCTAGTCTTTCCTCGTATGATAAATTAGTCATCCCGAGAACCATACGTGTTGCCATCCTTTGAAACCTTTCTAGAATGTGTGAGTCCACTTTTAGACAAGGGCTGGCGGCCTGGATGCAGTTTTCCAGTCTTGATCTCACCAGAGATGTGTATAAGGAGGTGAACATATCTCTGGTGATTCTAGTGAAGGCTCTACGAATTGCCCATAACGACCTGAAACTACGTGCAGCCACCGCGCGACAGTGTGCTGTAGTTTTTAAGTCGTGGCTAACTATGACACCTAAGTCCAAGTGAGTCTGAACTAATGGAAGTGTAATTCCCTCTAGTTCATAAGAGCTCGTGCTTGCTTGTCCAGTGCGCATGGTTGCACATTTTGCCACATTTATCGGGAGCATCAATTCTATGGACCACTCTGACAATTTGTTGAGGTCCTCTTGCAATGTGAACGTGTCACTGTTGCCCTTCAGCTCTCTCCAAATTTTTAAGTTATCTGCGTATAGGACCATAGGGAAGTCGGTGAGCAGAGATAACTCATTGATGTATAAAATAAATAGGAGAGGTCCGAGTACCGTGCCTTGTGGCACTCCGCTGCGTACTGTTGTCCAAGAGGAGAGTTTCGAGTTGATCCTAACCCTCTGCCTCCTATCTATGAGGAATTCCCTGAGCCAGTTTAGTAAGCTGCCTTTGATACCAAGACTTTCCAACTTCATGAGTAGTCTTTTGTGGGGTACTTTATCAAAGGCTTTGCTGAAGTCTATGAAGACGACGTCAACGGGTCTTCCGTTGTCCCTGGATTTGACGCAGATTTCTTTTGCAGTGAGAAGATTTGACAGGCATGAGAGGTCCCTTCGGAAGCCATGCTGTGCTCTTGATAATAAGCTCCTATTTTCTAGATATGCCATTATGCTTCTCTTGATGATTCTTTCCAGTGTCTTAATTAAAGTGCTGGTGAGACTGATAGGCCTGTAATTTGAAGGGCTTTGTCTTGATCCTCCTTTGTGGATGGGGGTTACTATGGCGTCTTTCCAGTCACGCGGTAACACTCCATTTTGGAGAGAAAGCTTGAAGATCGTGGTCAAAGGACCGGCTATGTGGGTTGATAGCTCCTTGAGAAGCCTTGGATGAAGATTATCAGGACCCATTGATTTCCCTGTATCTAGTTTCCTTGGGCAGTTGAGCACGATGCCATGGTCGATGTCAACGGAATCTATCCCATGTTCTTCTGATGCAGCCAGAGCTGATCCTATAGGCAGTGACGACTCCTGAGTGAAGACTTGGGAGAAGTAGTTTGCCATCGCTTCTGCTTTTTCTTGATCTTCTTCGATTGTATCATTGTCGATATTCAGGTTTGGGACACCATTGGATGTTTTATTTCTGAAGTTCATGTACGAGAAAATTTTCTTAGGTTGTGCCTTTGCATTTTGAGCCAGGTGTGCTTCGAATTTCATCCTTGATTGGCGGATTTCTGCAATAGCTTTATTTCTAGCAGTGTTGTATAATTGCCTGGTCTCAGAAGTCTCAAATGTGGTAAACAAGTTCCAACATTTGCATTTACGTCTGAGTAACTTACGAATCTCTGGGTTTATCCAAGGGGGGCAATGTTTCCGTCCTCTTGGGACGGACCAAGGGATGAAAGATTCAGTTACTTGGGTGTAAAGTTGTTTAAATTGGTTCCATGCGGCTTCTACTTGAGACTCTAGGTTGATGTACCAGTTTACTGAGTTGGCTGCTGAGACGATTGCATTTATATCAGCTTTCCAAACGTTTGGTCGAGATGGGGTTTCGGCCCTTGCTGCCGTTGCTGTGAACTTGAAAGTGAGCACAGCATGGTCACTTCTTCCTAAAGGAGGAAGATGTTGTATGAGATCCACATCCTCACCATGGGAGAACACTAGGTCGAGAGTTGAGGAGGAGTGCTGTGAGTCATAGCGCGTGGGCTTAATGATATGTTGGAGTAGGGCTAAAGCTATACTAGATTCGAGCAGTTTATAATCAAAGGAGTTGACTGAGGATGGAGTTGTTAGGCTCGTCCAGTCAACTGTTGGGGCGTTGAAGTCATCAACTACGAGACTTCGACATCTCGAGGTCCAGGAGCCTAGCTGCTCCATCAGGAAGTCATCTGCACTGCAGTCGGGACTGCGGTACATAGCAATGAGGTCAATATCTTGGCCTATGCATTTAAGTCTGCAGCGTAGAAGTTCGCACGACTCACTTTCGTGAGCGAGTGCTTCGATACTACGCACGGTTAAGCATTTCTTGAGGTAGATGACTACGCCACCTCCTTTGCGGTTTAGTCGGTCCACCCTATGAACTTCGAAGTTTGGCAGGTTAACTTCGTTGTCAGTGACATCGGGTGTGAGCCATGTCTCTGGGATGATAATTACATCCGGGTCTCCGGAGTCTATCATGTTAACCAGCTCAGTCCGTTTATTTAACAGGCTGTGGGCGTTTGTGTAGCAAACTGCCAATTCAGTTTGGTGCTTCCCCGGCCTACCCACAGAGGTTTCGGGATCATTAAACTGCGAACTTGGACAACCCGAAGACCCTTAATCTTAGGGTTCTTTTCGCCGTTTCGGCGTCGTTCACTTAATTCAAGGGTCGCAGACTGTCTTTTGACACGGTCTACTAGGCTTAAGTCGGCGCGGACATATATGCCTGATCCTTTTAGAATATGAGAGTTGCTTAGAATATCATCCCTCTCTTCTTTAGAGTTTAGTACGACTTTGAGGAGACGTACAGGCTGACTTACTGTAGGTTCAGGCTTTTGGCCTATTCTAAATACGCTATGTATAGCAATGGCTGATACTGTTTGTGGATGTAGCTTGCCTAAAAGGGGCTTGACCAAGTTAAGGTCATACTCAAATCTAGTCTTTGGGTCGAAGGCCAGTGACTCTTCCACTTTGTGGAGAATGGGCGACCTGTCAGAGAGATCAGGTTTGCTTGCCGTGGCTTTCTTGCTCTGCGGCGTAAATGCCTTTCTGTCCTTCGTGGGCAGTGTGGCCAATGTATTGTCCTTATCTCGCTTTTTGCGAGAGACTGCGTTACGCCATTCATTGGCGTTCTCCTCGCCAATCGTAGTAGGATTTATTTGCCTGCTACTCACCGGTGTGGATGATCCACTAGTCTCCGGGAGACTTGAGCTGCAGGTTTGCGACCTCTGGAACGCCTCTTCTTTGTGGCAGTCTTTCCATTACTGTCACTGGTGGGCTTATCCAGTATCGTAGGGGCAGTCTGGGTGTCTGGAATGTGGTGAGTGCTCTTCTGTGCTGAAGAACACTCACTTATTGACAGAGACGCATCGAGGACATGTGCTGTTTTGTCGATGACGCTAGTCACGTCATCGTTGTCTGAGTAATAGTCGGTGTTCTACTGTAGTGGAGGACGCTTGCAGTCCATGAGCTTTAAAACCCCACTGAGAGTGGCAATGGCTTCTGTAATACGGAATTTGGTGGTACTACAACAGTCATTGCACAACCAGTCTGCTAGAGGTTTGCAGCAGCGTTTGTATGCTGCAGGGATTAGGTTTGTGCACATACTGTGAAACCATCTCTTACAGTTATCACACTGCATTCCCTCATCCACTGGGAATTGGCACATAACCCTTCCGCAGCGGTTTTTTGATGGGCATGCTGTCTAGAGCGAACTGGCGAAGAAATTTAATGATAACTTTAAATGTCTATAGACCTTTATAAATCAGTGATAAAAACCAATGAGTGCACAAAAATAGATTTATATAACTATTAGGTTATAAGACACAACCTCCTATAATTTAATAGACTTAAATCTGAAAAGTAAACTAACTTTGATCAGAATAAACTGATTTAAAGTTATTCTGTAGACTTTTGGAGCGTATAACACAACAAAAGCCAAAACTAAACGAGAGCGTGTAAAATTCACTCCCTTTTCAAAGTTCGCGCGGTAGCGATTTGTCACTATATATCGATCTGGGTGTTGCTTTTGCACTGACAGTGTCTACTTGAAAGAAAGAAACTGTTGGAAGGAGTATCATCCACCTGGATAAACCACATCAACAGATCGTGACAACAGAAATGCATATCTGCCTGTTTCGCCACATGACTGCA